AGAAAATCATGGGAATGTCTGTGGCTGCAAGACATGTGACAGAGCTTGAAGAGTGTTACGAGTGTTGGGAATAGTAGATTTGATAAGCAAATCTCCTCAGCTCATGGTCTGATATGTGAGGTGCAGTACAAAGAGAATGTGGGAGGGATACTTATGGAAATGGATTATGTCTTGTGATCCAAACTTTAGGAGGAGTTGAGGCACAGAAGAACAGGTAGCAACAATCCACCCCTCCCATCCAAGGAATTCTCAAGGGCAGCCGTGATTTGTGAGACCATGATCTATGGTCTTCAGAGCTCCTGTCATTGTGTGCTACAGGAAAGCCATCACATTTGTAACCTAGGAAATGTCACTTCCTTTATGATGGAGAAAGCAATAGCTAAGGTCCAAACACTGCTGAGCTCTGGAGAGCTGGTTCTCTGGAAACATGCTACCCACCTGGGAGTGGATATTGGTGTGCTGCTCCAGGCTTACAGCATGCCCAAAGGTTTTGCCACATACTTCACAAGCGAAGGGACGTGTTCCACTATGAGACCTTCGGACATGGACCTCCAGTCCATGGGGAGTGGAGAATACCTGCAGAACAAAATGTCAGTGATTTTTTGAAGTGACTGTCTCCATCTCTGTTTTCAATTCCTTCTTTTTATTTGATTCTTCCCTTCCATAGGCCACGTGAACTGCATCATTCCTAGCGCCTTAGTCAGAAGAACAAGTAGGTACCTATTTTGAGCTGCATGCATTACACTTTGGTATAACCCCTTGATGTATGCAATGACAATCACTCCAGGCCCTCCCCATCCCTGAGCTTCTCATCTGGCACACACCTTGTTGCACTTCACACAATGGTAGGTCTCCATGTCTGAGGAATAATGCATGCTGTAATCCAGAGGGGGCTCAGTGCTTGGCAGGAGGTGGCTTCCATACAGGCTAACTGGGTGCTCCAGGACTGCTGACTGCATGGTGGGAGACATCTGTCGGTAGCTGTATGGCAAATGGAAAGCATCCCAAGAAAAGCCGGTTTTGTAGAAGGAAGGGGTGCTCATTGTGTTAGTGCAGTCTTTGATCTGCAGACCTGGGATGGCCATCTCTGAGTTTGCAAAGGAGAGGAAGAAGTGAGTATCATGCCTGCAGCTGGGCACCAGTAAAAATGTTCCCCAGGTATCACTCCCCCATTTGATGTCTTGCCTGACCTTGGGAATTGCAATTGGTAACTCCTCCTTCTTACACTCAAATCCTGATTCTCATACAAAGCTCCTGTTATGACTTTGATTTCAATCTGAGGAAATTTTATGGGAGAGAGGATGCTAAGAGTGTATTAACCTCTCTACTAGCCCTGCTTCATGTGGTGTTTGAACAAGTATCATGAGGACACCTGCCTTTACCCATGTAGCTACATTAGTCCTTGAGATTTGGAGGCTCGCTCGTTGGGAATCAGCGTCATCCTTCAGGGAAATGCTGATCTAGACCAGAATCATAAAGGGAAATACAGAATTCTCCTGATGAGCTCTGCCTGGGCCAACTTTGACCTCTGATGTCAAAATAAGAGCTGCCATTTACTGAAAATCTGGACCCAGCTGTAGGAGTTCCATAAGCCCACCCCTGACCTCCTTTGCAGTTGTGGTCTTGGGTAGCAGACCTTGAGCTGAAGGGCCTGGTGGCATCCTGCTCAGGTACTGGACAGGGACACTTTCTTCTTTCAGTTCAGGTGGGTCATTTTCTTGTTTTGGAGCCACACATTCTAGATCCTGTTTCTTTATGTCCTCCGGTGTCTTGTCTCCTATGGCTGTAATCACATAGTAGTGTCACAGTTAGTTTATTCTGGCTGTTAAGAGTTTATTTAGGTGGGTTTTGTACTTCTGTATGAACTCATGCTTGGATACATGAGCCCAGGCTCAATTCCCTGAATAAGTGCAAAGTGGCACAATCAGGACAGCAATCAAGGTCTATCCATTGCTGACAAAGGGAAATTCCAAGCAGGATGAGATAGGCAAGGTAGAGGGGAGCAGGAAGAAATGATAGAACACTTGATACCCTTTATATTTAGAGAAAATTAACCCTACAAGGCCACATGTCTGTAAGAATGATTTCCCTATTTAACACTATTTTCATTTGTGTGGGTAGCTAACAATCACTGATTTATTAACCTCCCCACCCCTCTGCAAAGAGAGTTCATTATTGTTAACCTGAATTTATGGTCAGCCAAGTAGGGAAGCAGAGAGGGGAGGTAACTGCTTACACAGCCTTGGCTCCTCTTGCCCACACTCCATTTTCTTCCAGCCCCTAAAGGGATCAACCAGCATTTCTTAGAAGTAGACTTTATAGCAAGAATCTGAAATGGACAGACACCCAATACATGTGCCTCCTTTCTGCTGGAGATGTGCTGCTGAAGGACAGAATTCATCTGTCATCCAAACCCTCTTGGTGAGGGTCACACAACAAATGGTCAAAGGATGATGGCAGGAACTGAAAGTAGATGTCACCTCCTTTTTTTTTTATCAGACTTACCATAGGGTTGGGCTCTAACTCGACAGCCAGGGCTGGAACAAAGGGTAAATTGATTGTGGATTTGAATAAAGAATATTTGAATGGTGCATGAAGGAAGAGGGTAATCGCCCCAGCCCTGCCACTGCTGTGGGAGAGCATGAACAGGAGCAGAGGGAGGACAGCAGGCCAGGGCAGCAGCAGTGTTGGTTGGTGTTAGTACAGTATATAGCAGCTGGCCTTTCACCTGTGAGTGTGTAGGACTCCTTTCACAGTCAGTGTTAGTGTCACTAGTATTTTCTCTCTCTAGCTGTAACTTCCTTGCAAATCACTGGGAGGAGGTGGTAACACTGAGGTAGAGAAGATGTAGGTCCTGAGAGAATGTGGGCAATGAACATAGCAACAATCTAAATGTGGTTTCTGTGGGACAGCGTGGTTTTGGTCTAAAGAAAGAGGGCACACAGCAGGGCATCAGTTTGTCCTTAGACTAATATCCCTGTGTGAAGCCCTCAGCTGCTCTTTAGCTCACTCATCCTACTCCCTTAGTTTGCTACTCAATTATTGATCTGTCTTTCAGGTGTATTCTTACAAGCCCAGCAGATGGACTGACTCACCAGTGAAGGGAGAGGTTACTGGATCCCAGGCTAATATAGGCAGGTCATCTTCCACAAAGCGGTGCTGATGGTAGGTATGAGCCTTTTTGCTCTTCACTAAAAAGGAACGTGGCATTTTCCATTCACTGCCTGGGCAGAAAGACACAAAACCAGCAGGTAAATCTCTGTGGTTTGGGGGGTAATTTCTCAATAGTTCCCCCAGCACATGCAGCAGTGACAAGAATTAAAACTCTTCTAGTAGGGAGACAGAGAGTTCATCTCAAAGGTCCCTCCACCCAGCTGAAGAGCAGGGAGTGTTGCATGGGTTTAGGTGTGTAGTAGATCTCAGCTCGGGGGAAAACACAGCTGTGGAGGGGGCTAAGCAAAAAAACTTCTCTGCCACTGCATGTAGAGATGGGATGGCACATTGAAATGGGATTGCAGATTACAGCACTGTCTGTAAAAATCACACTCCACAATCTACCCCCAGTTTGAGGCAAAGGATTACTGCTATCTTTATATTGTAGGTGGAGAAACAGAGGCATGCTTAAATTGAGTTCTGTGGCAAGGATACATTTGAAGGCAGGATCCCTCTCTTGTAGCTCTCTGCTCTGGTTACAGGACACAGTGCGTCTGACTTTATGCTCCCTGAGGGCACACACCGGGGCTGCAGGTTGGAGATGACCCCTTTGAGAAAGCATCTGTCCTAGTCCTAGCCATGACATGGACTCCTCTGTGATACTGCTACAAAAATAATTCTAGAAACAGCATCAATAATAGGAGAGACACAGTGGAAGATCCCCACAGCCATGCTGTGCAGCAGGTTTCCTTCTTGTAGGTCATAGCTGGAGTATTTTGCATTCTGGCTGACAAACAGCAGTCAAGCAGAAGCAGAGCAGAAGTGCTGGGTGACAGAGGTAACTTTTTGGATCTGACTCAAGTATCACAGACCGTTGAAATGCTGGGTTAGGAACAAACATAAAATGCTGAAATTTAATCATACAAAATTCTCTTGCAATGCATCTGTTATCTTTACTACCCAGAACCCAGCCCGCCCTGTGCCCGCTCCCCACGGCTAGTAACTGTTCTCGTGGAGGCAGTATGACAACAGGCTTGATGCCGTGTGTGGCAATATCAGCTGGCACCTTATTTGCATATATATTTGCATTTTCCCTTGTAATTGTTCAGGATAGTAGCACTAGAAGCAAATCTTGCTATATTTTGTATGAAAAGTCAGCAGTAAGTCCTGGCTCTCTGTTGATGGGAAAGTGCGTTAAGTTTCTTTTCCTGAGAGCAGTTGAAGTGTATTTTATTATTTACTAAAAAACAAAGTTCTTTGGTAAGTGGGAATGACCTAAGCCATCTGTGTTTTAGGACAGAGCTGTGTAGACTCCTGGAATCCGAAACAGCCAGGCATGGAAAAGGTCTGCTCCACAGGGTTCCGAAGTGCCCGCACTACCCCAGCATGCTGAATGTAGTCACACAGCCCAGTGGTGCTTTGTTTAAAGGTCCAAGAGCCACACTTATACTGGTGCCTGTCTTTTAAAACCTGGTCCAGGATTCCCACTGCTTCTTCTATGACTTCAGGGATAACTCTTGGTGTCTCTTAACCATTTTTTTTTTCCTTATGAAATGACTCACCTGTTTTTCTTCATCTTTTTCCAAGAAATTTGCATGTAACTTGAGATGAGTAAGAGAAAACAGAGGCCAAGAGTAGATTTGTTGATTTAATTTTAGAAAGAGGACAAAACAGTGCTGAGAATGAACCATAGGTATGCCCTTGAGGGAAGGGACACTGAAGTACATTGCTGTATTTGCTGTATTTACTCTCCCCTAACTCTCTAATGAGCTTACTTCAAAGTATTTGTAACGTGTGTCTCTGCCTGGTGAAAGGCTGCAGGCACAGAAATACCTCCAGCTTGGTACAAACACAAGAGTGTTCTGCAATTGGTATAACCCTTTAGCAGTGTGCTCTGCTTTGCCTGTGCACCTCATGTCCTAGCAGAAGGGCTTAGCTCAGAGGGTCTTCCTGCTCTTGGTCAGTCCCTGATCAGTGCACGGAGCTGCACTCTGCAATATAGACGTGCCCCAAGTTAAAGCCCTGCCACAAACCCTTTCTACATGGAATTTCCACTCGTGTCAAAGGGATTTTCCCATGTGGTGGGGCAGGCTGTGTCCACAATGGAGGGTATTCATACCAGTTAGCTTTAGACATTGTATTTTTCTGCTGAATTAACCAGTTAATTTCCCAGGGCTTCCTACACAGTGGAGGAAGACGCTCTGGCAGCGGGTAACTCCGAATGCAGGGTGAAAGCCTGTGCCCAGCAGTGCCTGTTGGAAGAGTTCCTCTTCCTACCCACTGGCTAAAGGACCCTATGGAATTAGCTGGACAGCTTAGCCAGGTAAGTTACCCAGAATTGGAGATGGGTGCATAAGCAGTCTTGCAGTGGTTTATGATAGTACCCATATGCTAACTACACGAAGGCACTAAGTGCAACCCCTCTTTTCTGATGGTGGTGGAAAGTAGATGCATATGAATCAATGGGATTTTTCTGGATATGTTTGCCCCAGCATATGTGAAAGTCAAATTTGGTCCAGTATCTTGACTGCTGATAAGGGCCTCTACTGAGCACAACGATCTTTAATGGACTACTGAGCGTTACAAAAGGAAGTTACCTTCCCCCACCCCATTTTACAGAGAAAACAGGAACTGGGAGCCCAAAGCGTAGTTAATTAACAACTGCATTGGGTTGTCTTTGTGATTCACACAACCAGGTTAGTGGAAAGCTAGAAGCACAGATTGTGAGAGAAAAAATACTATTTGTCCATGAAACTGAAGATTATCAGTAGCAAGTGATCAGCTGCTACTAATGGCTAACTATATTTCATGGGGGAGTAGTGCTATGGACAACAGACCCCGCTATGTCTTGAAGTCATTGAAGCTTCTGGCAGAATTTAGCTTCGATCTTTTGCTAAAAATTAAACTCTATTTTTATGGAGTCTGGTCTTGCCAGCCCCTGTGGCAGCAGTTTCTACCTTGACTGGCAAACACACAAGGGAGCTCATTGCTTGGGCAGGATTACCTACTTTTTGGATTCAATACAGGATATAAAATCAGTAGCTGGCTAGAACTGACATTTTTATTTGTTGCCATTCATGTAGCTGTACAATAATGTTGTTGTAATTATCCCCGAGGAGAAGACAGCCAAAAGGACCCAAGGGAAAAAACCTGCTTCACTATTCTAGTGAAAAGAAGCACCTAAGAAGGGCTTCTTTTACCAGTTATAAATGTCAGACCTGAAAGGGGACCCAGTATTTGTGTGTTCCCCTCCTATGTTCAAATTAAAGTTCCTTCATCCTCAGTGATGCTCTCTGGTGATTTTGCAGAGTATCACATGGGAAGCTGTAATTGTAACACTGAAGCACTGGAGACTGTGTAAAAAAAAACCCCAAACAAATCCTAAATTAAAAGGGTTTTTTTTTTAGGGGGTGGTTTCTGACTTCAGAATATTAATTTCACTCGATCCCTGGTGAAGCCCAAACTCCTGCTTCACTACATGGCAGCTCAGAGTACCCAAAAATACAGGATTGGACCCTTTGATATAATTTAGAAGAAATTCATATTCTCACTGAATTAGATCAGGGAGCTGTTTCCTCTGGTTCCTTCAGTGGGACAATTCGTAACACAAAACACTGCATTTGGGAGTAGGTGTTTGCAGGATTGTGCCATGCTGAATCAAGAACCCAGTTTGCAGCGTAAGTTCCATTCTAAAGCTGACTTTCATTTTCCTCTAAATTCAGATAATCCTGTTTTCAAATTTTCAAGGTTAACTGTAGAGATTAAACCTTTCTTCCTGCTACAGTCAGTGGAAATACTTAATTTTAACCTGCAGTTGATACATGTCTTCATGTAAGTTGATGAGTGTATAACGTTTTAGGCTACAAGAGGCTCATTTCCTTCCCATTGCTTAATTTATATTTAAATCTTATTATTGCTCTTTTCTGTTCTTTCTGGCAAAGGTGAAGCTTCCAAAGATAAAGAACAGTTTGTCTTTCAGAAGACATTTTTGAAATTAAAAAAGCACAAAATAGAACACCACCTGTGTCTCAAATGTATAAGAGCCCAAATAAAAGCAGAGGTTTTATGGATTCCTGATTCTTTAAATGTAAAGTCATATTAAAAAGAATTTCAGTTCTTTACAACAAAATTGTAAATAATGATAATCATGTATCACTCATACAGCCTTGCAAAATCAAATGTATTTGGGCAAGTAATTTGAATGTGGGGTGTTTTTTTTTTTTGTGGAAAAATGAGCAGGACATTTGGAATTCCTGTGGTAAAATTGGGCAAATGGACATTCTGGCAGGGAGAGTAAATTATGGTAGAAAATTTGTCCAAGATGAATGGAAATTCTTGTACATCTGTAGTATCTATGAAAAATGTTCAGATTATAACTACAGCATTTGTTCTTTACCAACCTCATTTAGCTCCTAGTGATGTTCGGAATGCCACTGGCTTTACCAAACTTTGCTGTAGGCTTCCATGGATAAATATATAGAGTGATCTAACAAATTCTACATCCCCTTAACGTAGAGATGCACTTACTGTGTGAACTTCCAAATCTTTTGCTTTCTTGCTTTACTGTATTGAATCAATCTGGTGGTAATGAGGAGCATCTATAAATAGCTAATTCCATATGCTAAAAATTGTTACCCTAATCAGCAGATCATCCTTGGGAAGGATGGAAAAATAATAAAATCAGGGATTTGAGGCAAAAATCCTAAACAGGAGAGACTGAATTTGCATGAAGCAAAACTGGCACAGATGAACTGGTGTCAGCAGAGGTGTGCTGTTCTCTGAATTTAAAAGTCTGGCCCTGTAAAAGAGCAATTAAAAGGAAAAATATAGCACATCCTTTCCTCAATCCTTAGGTATCAAAGTCTACATGTAGAGGCTACTCCTGCTGCATGGAGCTTGCTGGGACACAGGTGTCTGAGACCATTGTCACATCTTTTCTATTTTGTTCTATTTTCACATGTGAGAGTGAAGCAAGTATATGGTATATACTGAGGTAAGTATATGAAGTAAGTTTATGGTGTAACTTTAAAAGGTTTAACTCATTTGCATGAAGTGAA